ATGGAAATGCAATTTTCTTTTTAGTTGTACAATCGACGACTCGTCGCGTAGTGGCGACGCACAAGCGACTGCCAGTCGCCGGCGACCAATGAGAGCACTGTTTCAAATGGAAGCATACACAATGCGAGCGACTGCCGTAACGATTAGGGATGAAACGATAACATCTAGGTATCGATACTTTTACTCGATACTGTATCGGTCATAAAGTATCGATCCCTACTCGGTATCACAACAAATACAAATTCAGTCACAGTTTTAATTTAATGAAAACAAAATAACGGCTCGCGCCACGCGATGAATGAATGACTGACTGAATAAATTGGAATAAAAATAAATCATCCGCAAGGCTGCCAGCTGAGCAGTTGAAAAGATGCGTTCGCATAACAAAAAATCCAATAAGACACCTTACCATAGAGAAAATAATCTGCCGTCTAAGTTTTTTTGATACTTCTAGTGATTGGCCGACCGAGTACCGATACAAGTACTTACTTCACGATACTACTTGTTACTCAGTTCTAAGGTACCGATACCAAAAGTACTTGGTATCGAAAGAAAAGTATCGAGTAGTTACTTGTATTTACTCGTATCGTTTCATCCCTAGTAACGACCGGACGTGGAAATCTAATGTACTTGGAATACTGTCGCTTGGCTTGATCTGTGGCCCTAGTTGCCAATGTTTTGGTCGCCGAGAGACCAAGTCGCCGACGACCTGTCGACAATGCGTAACGGCTCTAAATGTCAAAACAAGTTAGCGAATATGCCCCCTGATGTTCAGTGGTGGTAAAGTCCACACGTAAAGATAGCTGGTTTATTAAATAGGCATTCGTATTAATTTTTTAGGTTGTGAATATTTTTAAATTTTATTTATTGGGTGAAAATTATTTTGATATTCAACAGCTGTTTTGTTTAACCGAAGATAGAAAAATTGGCCTTTACTAATAAAATTATATAAATATATAACATTTCCATTTAGCAGTCTTTTTAGAGTAATGTCTGTACAGACTGAGTAACATAAGGGCAATCATTGAGACAAATATCTTATGCCCGCACTACTGTTATGTACTTGACTATTCGTATTTGCTATTTGTAAACTTGACAGCAGTCTGTCATTACCATACTTTATGGGGAATGAAAAGGATAGACTGATGTCGAGTTTACCAATAGCAAACAAGAATATCCAAGTGAAGTATCGACATCAAAAATCTGTAATAAACTCACAGATGAAATGTCAAAAACTAGTTAGTATTTAACTGTATAAGGAAAAGTGTACTATGTTTTTATAAAATATTAGAAAATAATAATAATAAAAAGTTCTCAACGGAATAAAGTAAATAATAATTTATATTAGTTTTTCTGTATAATGTGAATTAAAACTAGAAAAAAACATGCAAAAATTATGTACTGGTATTACTAGATAAGACACCGGTTAAGTACTTTGTATATTCCTTCCCTTTCTTTCATGGCAAATAAAAAATATTTTTCAACACATTTGCTCAAAAAATTCATTTAGAAATACATTGTTGGTAAGTTCAAAATTTCGGGCCATACAACGGAGCGCGTTTATTAATTGTTTTATCTCATACAACAATTAATAAACGCGCACCGCACCCATACTTGACGCCGTCCCATTTACGTTTTTTTTTAAATTTAAGAAACAAAGAAACTAAGAAAAATCTTTTATTGGCCTTAAAACACAAGTATGTAACAATAAGAAATTATACAAAAACAAGTAGAGAACAACAATATGCAGAAGGCCAATCAGGACCCTGCCTCGGCTTAATGCTGTTACAATGGGACGGGAATATTCCCACCGTAAAAGCGCTGGCTGGCAAATTTCGGTCGAACCTCTGTTGAAGCGCTTCAAATCAAATACCTTTGTCTTACTTTAGTAATAAAAAGAAGACGGAATATTTAGTTCTTATTATCACTTCTCGCAAAGGGTGCCATTTGGGGATTCGCACCATTTTCTCATTAGAAAAAGTTTGTTAAATTACCTAAATTAGGTACTATTCTTGTTCTTAATACAGGTACTGTTTTCTCGCAAATGTGTTGAAAATGTATGACATTCGGGCTGAATTGTTATTACACACTCGTGACTATGGGAAGCCATACAGTAGTCTTGTTTGTAATAACCAACTTACCGCACTAATATCATAAATAACTATTTTAGGGAACATTTTTCGGGTGTAATTCTCTATTTCATTATTTATAGTGTGAAAGTATCTTTTTACCATGTAAATTGAAAAAAATACAAGAAGCATACTTTCATGCTGTTCCTTTTATTGTTTTGTAAAGCAATTTCTAATTTATCTATTTTTAGTTTCAGATAGGCTTTTTTTTTTCAGAAAATGCATAGCCTAACATAGTATTTGAGACATTTCTCGCAATGGCAGAGCATAAAAAATAATCATCAATGTCAGTATAAATATCAGTTCCATGCCTGCACCCCAACCGCATTATATAATTAACATCGAAACTAATTCAATGTTTATTCATAAGCCCCAAAAATTCAAAACATAACAAACACACTCCCTTTCAAGAACCTCCGTCCATAACAACGTCAAAAGAAACAATTTCCCGCCAACTAAATCACAATCAACAGTACTCCTAGCACGAACCATTATCGAATTCGAATAGTTTGCGAGTCCAAAGTGTCATTGTCGAAATTTGTATGAAAACCTGAAAATTAACGCCATATCGTAAAGAGAACTAAAAATCAGTACACATTTGACAATGACATTTCTTACTCGCAAACGATATGAATTCGATATTGGTTCATTTATAATTTTTGGTGTTTTTTTAGTAGAAATGTGCGATGCATTGAAGCAGCGAGCGAATGGAAAATCGAGCAATAGAATTGTTGTGCTGGCGCTAGATAAATACTGCAACGCCATCCTATGGACGGTTTTTATTTCACTTGACGCTTAGTTACCTCGCATAGTTCTGTTAAAAAAAAAACAGACAGGCCAGTCGCAGTATGGATGATTTTTGTACGAATTTCCCTAGTTTTAGATTTAGGTACAGATGGTGAATATTTAACGTCCTCTTGCTGCAAAATCGATGCTCAGAATAACAGTAACGATTGATGGGCTTGCGATTTCATATCAAAAACCGAATCAGCAAATCGGTCACGTTGCGGTCTCAATTTGTAATTGCTTACATAATAAATCTGAGATTCACATGAACGCTAAAAAAACGCTTCAAAGTTGCATTGAAACTTACAAAAAAAATCCATGTTCAATAAGGGGATAGATAACAATAAAATAACGCACTGAAACGCACTATAGATCTAAACTTTGGTTCAGATGAACGTGCACGCGTGTAGTTTAACCTTTAGTGTTGGAAGATTGGATATCAATTAAATAAATAAATGTCAAAAGGGTCTAATATACATGAATAAAAAACAATTGATGTTCGTTAGTCTCGCTAAAACTCGAGAACGGCTGAACGGATTTATCTTATCTTGATCTTGATGTTCGTGGAGGTCTAGGGAAGGTTTAAAAGGTGAGAGAAAATCGAATAGCTATCTACACCGAAGCGAAGCGAGGGCGGACCACTAGTTAGAAGATAATTAACTTGAAGAAAAGGCCCTCAAGTAGGCGATATCACTGAAATACTTAAAAGAAACACGTACCTACTCAATGACATTGTCAAATCATAAGACCAAATGTTCTAATGTATTCATAAATGTTCACAAAATTCGTACAAAAAAGTTTATCCAAAATGCGACCTTATGCCAAGACAGACTATCATACCATCTCGAAACATTTCTCGTCAGTTCCGCTCTCGCGACTCTCGCAAACATCCCTCGGCATCAAAAATTGAATCAACAATGCCAACAAAACGAAAAACAACCCAAGAATCAACAGTATATTCAGCCAGTTCTCCCTCCAAATCATTTTCAGTTCCAATTCGAGACAAATACATTTGGGACAACATTTCATCTCAGTCCTAGGACATCTACGCCTACAGAATTGGCAGAAACCTCTCAAATACCTTTCACCTGTCGCTCTAAAAGTCGGATTATAGAATATTCGTACTTCAGTCTTCCCTTTTGTGATATCTTTTTCGTTATTCAATTGAGTGACTGTGGTTTTACGATCACGCGACTCTTCAGTATAATACTTCTCGCTACGTTTGATAAACGATTCTAGATCAGCATTGTTTTTGCTCAATTGGTTTTTAGTGAAACTAGCTTCGGTTTTCTCCATAAACGTTTCTGTTGTAGTCAAAACACGATTGTATCTATCGAGATTTAACAGTTTTAAGTTTACAGAGCCTGACACTTTGACGTCTGGACCAGTTTTGGTGACGTCATTCCTAATGCTGTGACATTCGATCTTTTTCGGATCGTTTGAACGATTGAAGCGTTCGTTTATATCATTCTTATCGTTATTAGTAACTGACGAAAAGAATTTCTCCCGCAGCAAGTCGTTTTTTGTTTTCCTATCAAAATTTACGTTCTCGTAATCATGTTTATTGTCAAAGTTAATGTTAGCATAATCGTGATTCGAGAAGTCCTTTTTGAAATTGTAAATCTTATCGCTAAGAGTTTTAGGGTACAATTTAGGTTTGTCATCAACGCTGCTTATATTATTTATATCGCTATCATTCTTATCATCTTTCAAATAATTCTCACAATTCGACAAAAGAGCATCAACATCACCGCTATTTCTCACGCTGTTATTCAATTTACTTTGCGACTCGAAATTATCAGTATTGTTCAATTTAGCTTGCGGATCAAAATTGGGATCTATTGCTTTATTTTTAAAGACCATATTGCAGTAATCTAAACTCCTATAGTAATCGCTTTCGGACTCCTCTTGTATGGCATCCAAAGCGCCCCAATTGCGGGTAGTATCAACGTCTTCGTACACATGATCATCGTAGTCAGTTGCGTCATAATCTGCGTCGTTACGATGGAAAAACGCCCGATAGAAGTTGTCGTAGCAGTAGTTGAGCCGCCTGTATAGTAAGGACTTTTTCCCTGGCCGGGTTACCTGGGTTTCTTTGTCTTCTTCGGTCTCTTCGCCGATAGTGTGGAGAACGGATGTCGATGCTTCTCCGACGCGAGATGCTGCGTTTAGGAGATTCTGGCGTGGCTGCAAATGGAAATTTATGGGTAAGATTTGCTTTTTAGTTAAAGATAGATTCTATACTCTGATTGCAGTATAATAAGACAGTGGCAAAGTAGAAATGTTTGGGTAAATTTCGACTTTAAATTAGAGATACGCCCTGTATTCTAATCATAGTATAATAAATAGTATCAATCTTTGTTTATCATAGAATCACGGCTTTTTTCCATCCGAATGGATCCAGACGACATTTTTAATATCAAGTGATTGATTTATTGATATAACAAACTAACGATTTAAAGGTAAAGCTTGGAAAGTTGTTTGTCACGACATGTCTTCAAAAAACATATGTATTTAATATTTATGTACCAATATTAAGCATTAAATATTGTTATAAAAGAAACATGCACACGCACGTGTACTGCCTGTGTAATACAACATTAAAGCATCATCATACAAATATTTACGCAAGAAATAAAAAAACAAAAGCTTATCTCTTTCTTAATAAAATCTATACACAATCACAATGATCATAAGACTTCTAGGGCAAATTTCCTCTTACTTTGTGACTAAGTTATCGCTATGAATTTTCCAAAATCATTACTATTATTTTAATAAAAGAAATTAAATTCTCCCAATAGAACCTCTACACAGATTCTGTGACTAAGTTATCGCTATGAATTTTCCAAAATTATTACTATTATTTTAATAAAACAACTTAAATTCTCCCAATAGAACCTATACACAGGTACCAACAAGGTTTCCACCGATTCCCACTTCAAGAGGAGTGCAGTACCCTTAACACGAACCCATATCGAAGTCATTGTCAAATTTTGTATGGAAACTTAAACAGCAGCGCCACAACGGACGGAACGAGAACTAAAAATCAGTACACATTTAACGTATATCTAGATCGAATTCAACTATTTAATGGTTCGTGCTAAGGGTACTCTGTCCAGTTTGCGGTTAAGTTATCGCTGTGAATTTTCGAAAACTTTTATTACTTATTAAAATTAACCACGAGGAGCTCGATGGCTTTAGTGGTTAATGCGTTCGGCCGCAATCGTTGAAGTTAAGCAACTTTCGCAGTGTTCGGTCATTGGATGGGTGACCAAAAATTTACTATCTCGAGCTCCTCCGTGCTTCGGAAGGCACGTTAAGCCATTGGTCCCGGCTGCATCTGCAGTCGTTGGCACCCACCAATCCGCACTGGGCTCGCGTGGTGGGTCATGGCCCAATCTCCCTATACCATCCTTTGGGGAGGCCTGTACCCCAGCAGTGGGGACATTAATAGGCTGATGATGATGAAAATTAACTACTGTCATTTTCTCTCACCTCTCTAGCCTCCGGTTCAGCAGCCCTCAGCAGATCAGAGAAGGCACTGCACAGCTTTCTAGTAGCATCCAACAGTGTATCACCGTCGTCCATTAACGCGGCGATCATTTTAACACCTTTAGTCATTTCCGGCAAGTTCGTAGTAATGGTAGTAATGGCAGCACCTACTGCAGTGTGGTCTACTTCTTCGGTTGGTCCTGAGATGGAATTGAGATAGAAATTAATAATAACCTTACTAATATTATAACTAAAAACTAAAACAAGTTTTAACGGGTTAGATGCACTGATTTTATTTATTTATCGATGTTTCTCAGCCTTTGCAGGAATGACTCGTCGGAATAATGGTTTTTTATTGACGTTGTCGAGCTACCTACCAAAGACTTTTATTGAGCGTTCGGATATTTCATTAAAAGATTTTTAAAACTTTATTGTCTACGTCTATGAATTTATTAGCCAATATAATTAATAAAGTACTTTATTTAATTCTTAAATAATTTTGAGTTTATTTATTTCACCCTAACTACCGTAAATCAGAAATCAGAAATCAGAAATCAATATATCTTTATTCAAATTGGATGTATAGTACAACACTTTTGAATCGTCCAAACATTTTTTTTTTCCCTACCACTCGTTATTGGACATATTTTTTAGCTGCGGAGAAAAACGAGCGAAAAAAACTCCACAACATTAAAAGCATAATGTAACAACATTTACAAATCATTATGTTGTTACAACGTCAATACAATCATGATTTATTTAATATAGAAAACCTGTTGAAATGATTGGAACAGTTCAAACCCAAGCATTTTTGTCTGTAATATAATCAGACACTTTGTAATAAGCTTTTTTAATAAGTGCTTTTTTTATACTATCTTTGAATTTATTTATGCTTAACTCTTGGATATTGCTTGGGACTTTATTGTATAAGCGAACACAAAGACCTTTAAATGAATTATTGATTTTGTGAAGCCTAGTAGCAGGTAAAGTTAGTTTATTTTTGTTTCTTGTATTAAGTGTGTGAACATCACTGTTTTTAAGAAACAAATTAATATTTTTTCTTACAAGTAATAAATTTTCGTAAATGTATTGTGATGCGACCGTCATTATACCAAATTCTTTAAACCTATCTCTTAAGGAATCCTTAACTTTAAGATTATAAATTGATCGAATAGCTCTCTTCTGCAGCACAAAAATAGTTTGAATGTCGGCGGCGTTTCCCCACAATAAAATTCCGTACGACATTACACTATGGAAATAACTAAAGTATACTAATCTGGCCGTATCTACATCCGTTAACTGGCGTATCTTCATTACGGCATATGCTGCAGAACTAAGTCTATTTGACAATTTATCAATATGTGGGCCCCATTGAAGCTTAGAATCTAAAGTAATCCCTAAGAATACTGTGGTGTCTACAAGGCCCATATTCCTATCCTTTACATTCACACTGGTTTTTACCTGTTTTACATTAGGTAATACAAATTTAATACATTTCGTTTTTCCTTCATTTAGTAATAAATTATTAACATTAAACCAGTGGACTACCTTAGAGATACAACTGTTCACGTCGTCAATAACTGTTTCCTTACGTTTGAGTTTAAATAAAAGTGATGTATCATCCGCGAACAATACTATCTCATGCTTATCTCTAACGTAGTAAGGTAAGTCATTAATATAAATTAAAAATAAGAAAGGACCAAGGATTGAGCCCTGCGGAACACCCATTTTAACCGGCGAACCCGCAGACTTATTGCCGTTAATGTCAACCCTCTGAATCCTATCCATCAGGTATGACGCAATAAGATCCAGATCAGTATCTCTAAATCCATAGTGGTGGAGTTTCCTGAGTAATGTTTCATGAAAAACGCAATCAAAAGCCTTGGACAAGTCGCAAAACACACCTAGAGCGTCCTGCGAGTTCTCCCAGGCGTCAAAAATTTGTTGTATAAGTTCAACACCGGCATCGGTTGTTGAACGACCCCGTGTAAAACCAAATTGTTTACAGTGAAGTATATTATATTTATTAAAATGTGATTGCATTTGATCTAACATGATTCTTTCGAAAATTTTACTAAAGGTGGGTAGCACAGAAATTGGTCTAAAGTTTGTGGGGTCTGATGTACTTCCCGTTTTATGCAAAGGAGTTATTTTACTGTATTTCATGAGGTCAGGAAAAACACCACAGTCAACACAATCATTAAATATGCAAGCTAGAATAGGAGCTATTGTCTCAATTACCGATTTAGGAACATCAACGGAATTGCCCCACAGATCCGTGGTTTTCTTTTTATTTAATTGGTGAAACGTTTTAATTACATCTTTGAAGTCAACATGTTTAAAATGAAAATGACTAGTACAAGGTTTCACGTTTTCTCTTAAGATTGATTCAGCAGCAATGGGGGAAGAGTTCAAAGATTTAGTAGTTGAAACTGGAATATCAGTAAAGAAATTTTCGAAAGCTGTAGCAACTTCAATATCTGAAGTAACCCTTTTATTATCAATATTTAAGTTATAATTATTATTGCGAGTTTTGGATTTTCCAGTTTCATCGTTTATAATATTCCATGTCGTTTTAATTTTGTCATTACTGTTCTTAATCTTTGAACTTAAGTAATTTGATTTTGCTAAGCGGCATACTTTTTTAAACAATTTAGAATAGTTACGAACATGCTCTTTAAATTTTTCACTAGTGTTACAGTTTCTTTCATTATAAAGTTCATAAAGTGTCCTTCTACTTTTATGAATTCCAGGCGTAGCCCACTTAGTAAAAGTTACCGCATCATTAATACAGATTTTTTTGGGTACAAAAACATTATTAAATTCAGTGCAGTATATATTAAAAAAATCATTATATAAATCATTTGGACTGTCTTTATATTTTAGATAACACATTTTTCTATCTAATTGAGTTTTAAAACGTTCCACACGATTAGCAGATTTTGGTACAACAGTCATGTGTTTTTTTGTCACCTGCTTGAGCTGATATGGAAATGTAATCAACTGGCCACAATGATCACTATCTAGTTTATTAATAATTTGTTTTTTCTGTGGTATGATATCTGTATATATATTATCAATACAAGTGGCCGAAGTGGCAGCTATTCTAGTAGGCTCAATGAATAAGTTTTTCAGATTGTATGATTGAAATAAATTTTTTATTTTAGTACTCGAACTAGATTTTTGTAATAAATCAATATTGAAGTCACCACAGACAATCAACCGTTTGCCTGTAGTGTAAGTTTTCTTAAGAGCTTCATCCATGATAGCTTCAAAACAATCATACAATGCTGATGGAGGTCTGTATACGCTCAATACAACAAGCCGGTCCAGTTCCACACAGGCAATTTCTATTGTTCGCTCAACCGAGAGGCTCACAATATCTCTTCGTTCCTTAAATTTTAATTTTTTATTCAATAATATTAAAGAGCCACCGCGAATTGCATTTTCTCGATTGAACAAACTACCAACCTGATGATTATTGAAATTAAATATATTCTGACAACTTTTAAGCCAGTGTTCTGTTATACAAAAAATATCTATATTATTACAATTCATGAATAATTCAATTTCTAAGTCCTTACCCATCATTCCTTGAATATTAAGATGCACCAGGTTGATAAAACTTACATTTTTTGCAATGTTTTTGGATGGGTTTTTTTTATCTATATTAACAAAACAATTATTTTTATTTACATTATTATTTAATGTGCAAGAAGAATTATCTTTTGTCTGATTGGTTAATTTAAATATTTATTATGATTTTGGGTGGTTTCAGTAGAATAAGTACTGATTGTCATGTCAATAGAATATTGCTCAATAGGAGCAAGTTGTTTAGCCAAATTCTTGGCTGACATAAAAAAGAAATATGATAGCGACTTAGCTACCTGTCTTTTATTATAATTGGAAAGATAATATTTATCTTTCGTCAAATAAAAATTTCTAACATAATTGTTAGAGTCAATCAAATGATATTTATTGCTTTTACAAATTGTATACAAAAGCATATTTAATTTGTATCTTAACAAATTTTCCTCCTTTGGCAGACTGTTGCAGTAAGGCAATGTGAACAATACAATTTTTTTCACATTTAATGCATTTAAATCTGTCACATATTTTATTAATAACTTTTTATTCAAATTGCCTCTATTTCCTATAAAAAACAACAAGGTGTGGCATTTACTGTAGCTATGCTTACTTGCCTTTTCTAAAATATCATTATAAGAGGTACCAGGCATACAGTAATTTGTTATTGAATGTCCCATTTTAGATAAAAGAGGGCCCATATTCTTCCCAATTTCATCACTAAACATTATAATATTGTTATTTTTATTACCTAAAGATGCATTTCTTGAGTGAGTTACTTTCACTGGTGTCAAGTATGTACCAATTGGCTGATGTTGGGAATCAACAGATCTAGACTTTTGTTGTAAAGTGGAGGAGTCACAATTGAGCGATGATTGAGTTCCCAACTGTTTACAGTCACAAGTGTGATTGTTAGTTAATGAATTAAATCTTTCATTATTGTAATTACATAAATCAATTAACTCATTCATGGCCTGCATGTGTTCCTTCATTTCACATTGTGCTAATTCATATTTTTTGGTTACACTTGAGAGACAATCTTGCAGTTTATCTATTTTACTTTGTAAAATTTGAGTATCTGTTTCATATTTTAAACAAATGTTATTATATTTTGCAGAATAAATGTCCAATTTATCAATTAACTGTAATCTCTCTCTGTTTAATTTAACATTTTTTATAAAGAATTTTTGTTTTTTAATTAACTTTTGAGTTTTTTTAATATATCTTTTTATTTTTACATATTTCTTTAATTTGTTTCTATTACATCCAACAACCCCCAATTTGTTATTTCTACTGTCATTACATGTAAGATCTATTGTTACAATTGGTTGGTTATTGGTTGCAGCAGAAACCATCTCTGGAGCACTGACTACCAACTCATCAAATAAGCTCTGATTCAACGAGGCAGTTATATTGTGTTTTGACGTTTCTAAAAGTGATATTGTATTATTTGCTTCATGTAGTTGTTTTTCCAGCATGTGAATACGCTGCAATGCTTGATCATACTCACTTCTACATTGATCAAAGCCATCTACGATGAATTGGAGTCTGTCCCGAGCATCAATAGCATCAATGCACTGTTTGTGAAGTTCTGCCATTTCGCTCTTTAACTTTTGATTTTTGTCTAAAATATCTATTAATTCCCTCTCATTGTCATCGCGTTCCTTGTTTAGTTGGTTACATAAATCCTTAGAAGCTTTGAGTTCTCTCAAAGTCAGTTGAAATTTAGACTCCTCTTGACGAGACAAAGCCTTACGAGTCATCATTTTTATATAAGATTAATATTATCTTAGTTGAAATTTAATTAATGTATGTATTTAAATACAACAAGACTTATTTAACCAACAATAACAAAGATATGTAGGTATTTTATAAAAAAAATATTACCAAAGTTTTTGACTATTTTATGCTTTACACACTTTACTAATATAGAATAAAGTAATAGTCAAGGTATATTAGAATCTAACTTGTAAAAATAACTTACTGAAATTAAGAAAATATCTTGAAAACAGATGACAATGATTCACAATAAAGCCGGTAACTGTCACAGGTTATTTTTACGTAATTTCACTCACTTTACAATCCTTTTATATAGTAGCACTTAGTATTTAACTATTATTTAATGATATTATTGGTTTTAGAGCACAATTTCTTTAGATTTACAATTTTTAAGAATAAAATTAAAGGGACAGTTCAAAATCAGCTGTTTAGCCAGTGTTGCCAGAGGAGGAGTAAACTGTACGGTAAACTACCACCGGTTCCAAAATTGGGAGACCTTTCTGAGAAGAACCGGCGAAACAAACTCAGAGAGGCTTTCTATCTCCTTCTTATGTTAAATCATGCAAACAAAAAGAACTAATAGTATCTGATGGTCTTGCAGTGTGTGCTCGGGATTGGGATTTTATCTCATGACTTGAGCAGTGGCTGCATTCATTGCTGCAATATGACTGGTAACCGCTTGCTTGTTGGTGTCAAGAATAAATAGCTTCTGACTTCATTACAATAGATTATAATATGTTTTATATCCACTGACTTGCAGTTAGAGTCACGACTTGAGCAGTGGCTGCATTCATTGCTGCAATATGACTGGTGACCGCTTGCTTGTTGATGTCAAGAACGAAAAGCTTCTGATTTCATTACAATACATTATAATATATTATATATCAACAGACCTGAAGTTAGCGTCACGACTTGAGCAGTGGCTGCATTCATTGCTGCAATATGGCTGGTGACCGCTTGCTTATTGGTGTCCAGGGTGACTTGCTTCCATTTCACGGAGGCAGAGTCGACTCCCAATTCGGGCATCACAGTCTGTTTATGACAAAAATTTACAAATTTTAGTCTAGTACTAAGAAAACTCTTTAGGCATCTTTGCATTCATCTGGATGTTCCGTTACTACAGTTAGAAGAATTAAAAAAAAATGCTTTGTTAATTACTTAACTATGAGTAACATACACAAGAACGTGCTTAAAAAAAAGATACTCAAAAGACCACAACACTTTGTCAAATGTTTTGATATAAAAAAATAAAAATTGTAATATTTTCTTTATTATTATTACCAGTTTCAAAGAAATACAATTATAATGTTGTGATCAATGGCATCAAAAAACCACAGAGGTTTGAATTTATGCGATGTACGCCTGCACGACAATAAAATATTTAAATTGCTAACGGAGTTAATTTTTACAATAATTAAATAGTATGAATGAAGCACATTTAAAATAGACAGGACATATTGGGCTTGGATAAGTACATTGTATAAGTATTTAGAAAATTTATTTTTATTAATTGTTTAAAAATTATTCTTTTTATTAAATCTCACCCTTTCGAGACCTTCTTCAGTATGCTTGATGACTTCCCGTCCAGTAGTGATGGCGGACAGAAGCGCCCTCTGCGGTTCTGACAGTAGTGACGTCACTTTAGTCTGCTGCACTTGCGCTGCCTGTTATAATAGTGGTTTTTTAAAGAAAGAGAGTAAAATTTTCTGAGCATTTATATGTTAAGCAGTTTCAAGCTTATAAAATAAAGCGATAATAAACTAGTTGAATTAATCTGAAACGAAAACTGTGGTCATCCTGAATTTATCTATTTTCTAGAGAAAACTACATCACCACTGACAAGTTAATGGAACAAAAAGACTAGACGACCATAGTTTTCGATTTTTTTTTTAATGATTATCATTTTGTTTTATTTTTTCTAAGCTGACGATCTCGTCTGTGTTAGTAATGGTTATTAAGCTGGGACTCCCATCGCGTGTTTTGCCTTACAAAATCGTCTACACAAAACTATGTTTCACTACACATATTTGTTTGCATCAACAAAGTTTTTGCTTTCCGACCCCGACGGAAAAGGCGTACACAAATTATCCCTGTCCGGGTCAAGGGGCAGGGTTTTATTTCATCGGGCATTTTTTGACAACTCGCTAGCGGGGGCTGCGTTCCAAACCTACGCTTCGAGTGCAACTTTTCACTCTTAACGTTTCAATTTTGATATAAAATGTACGAAACTTTTGTCAAATTTGACATTTGTTACGCCTGGATCATAGGTTTGGAACGCAGTCCTGTGTTTTTAGTGTGCGACGGTCACGTGAGCAATAAAGAGCGTGTATAGAGAAACATGTTTGAGAAACAAAGTTTTGCGTATGTGTTTTTGTTCAATGTTTTCAAAAACTTTTGCTGGACACCCGGCTTTATTTCAACAATCTTGCCCCGAAAATGAAATGCTTACAATATTGAACCTCATAAAACAAATTTAAGGTTCAAAATTGCAAAATTTTACATATTGTTCTTCAATCATACACATTCAAATTATCAATTATGTACCTACACAGCCCATCTCGACGACTGTTAGTATCCAAGCAGAAAGCATGAAACAAATACATTCGGTAGTTAGTAACCTGAGCAAATACTAACCTAACAAGAGAGATGACTGGATAATTAAACGAAATTCAACTTTGTCCGTCAGTTAGATTATTTATCAAAAAATAATGGACAACTATATTTCCTTTTGTCAATCAAGCAAAAAAGTTACAAAATGCGTCAGTTTGGGAGTGGGGGTTCGTGACGTCACTTCTAAATAAAATTGTACAAAGACGTGACGTCATGCAATATTTCAAATCAATGTATCACTGGAATGTTTTGATGGTGTGAATAAAGAAAAAATAGTGTCCAATACTTTTTATAGACTACAATAAGGACTAAAATTAGACCCTAATTTGTCTCTGTCTTAGCTTTAGCAAACAAAGGTTACAGTATAATTTTTAGACCAGGTTTAAGTTTTGTCAATTTTTTTTAATAAATTAATAAATAAAAGTTACAGAATCCAGTAGCCACTTCATTAGATCAGTATCAATAGCACAAACCTTATCGAATTCGAATAGTTAAATTCGATCTAGATATACGCCAAATGTGTAATGATTTTTAGTTCTGTTCTGCTGTTCAAGTTTTCATACAAAATATGCCATTGTCATTTCGTACTCGCAATTGACATTTCGTGCTAATGGTACTGTACCCCCTAGCACGAACTTTGACAGATCTGTAATCGTATAGACAACTAAAGAAAAGTTTACTAGAAAAAATTCCACACGGACCAGGCAGGAGACGGGACTCGAACCCGCAGCCTTAGCTATCCGGGCGAATGTACTGACCATTATGCTACCGCGGCCCTGACGGCCGTGTCGAATTTTCTCTAGCCTTAGGCTGCAAGGCAGCCAGCCAGACGTATCGTCATCGTCAAATTTTGTATGGAAGGAGCCACTTTGTTCTTACGTCCGGTGGGAACGCTGCTTGGATTTCATAGAAACTGACTGCGATATGATCACGGAACTGTCAAAATTCGTGCTGGGGTCTTACCGCAAGCGCAATGAAAACAGTAGTAGCTTACTTCCGTTCTTGCAACAATCAAAATGTGGCTTAATCAGTCGAAATAAAGCAATTTTTTGTCGTACCCATGTCTAGCTAGGTTATGAATTCGGACTGACTTATTCAAAATGGTAAATGGAGAAAAATTAATAAGAAAAAAAAATTATTAACAATGATGTAACATATACTTAAAACGAATGTTATAATTCATGAAAAGCAATTGATGGCACACCTGTACTAATATTACGGCTTGCCCACAGTGGTACGCGCGTTGACAACGAAAGAATTGTGAAACAATAACTTACTATTTTATTCATTTAGGTTAGGTTCCACTATTATGTATAGCTCGTGTTATGGAAGAGAGAAATAACAAATGACAATGTAAGACATTCTGTCCCTCTCGCACATGTTATCCTAAGTAACGTGCGAGAGAGGCAGAATATGCTGCTTCGGAAGTTTAGATTCCTTTCTTGACTGACACGTGTTAATCTAAAATACGCTATTAGAATTACATGTGGCAAGCTCTACATGCATAAATATCGAAAATAAAATAATCTTATATCTAAATTAAATATACTTCAAGACACATCGATTGGCCTACTTAGTGTTGTAAGTTTTATTATTACTACATATATATGTTTAAATATTAGAATAAAAAACTGCGTAGAGTTTTTGCTCAATGTAACAATTGTTTTTTGCTAAGATCCGTCAAAACTTAAAATGCTAGGTGGGCCGATAGATGTGTCCGGAAGTGTATAAAGACATTGTCTCACATTTAGCTATTTGCACCAATATATGGTCTTAAAACCAATATTTCCAACTGTATAGATTATTAACAGATTATTTACATTAAGGTGACCTTGTGTCCGATTACAAGTCAACGCTTATCTCGGTGAAATGTTGGCGCAGAAGGCATTGGAGCCAACATATGACTCTACTCCAGTAAATCGGAATAGACATTTGGTGCTGTATAGTCAGATGTTTTAATTTGTAAATGATTTCTTTGATTTTGATTGTGATTTTTGTGGGTGAAAACCGCTTCGTGAGTTCTTTGCCTTTATCTATGTCCAGCTACATAGATAAAGGCAAAGAACTCACGAAGCGGTTTTCGGCGTGTGCTCAGTGATGACCTGTCCCGACACGGTGGCCTGTTGAGTGCCCGTCATGTGCACCACGGCGAACGGTTTTTCCCCAAATAGGGCGACATACTATTTTATTATACAGTCTTTTTTTGGGTAAGGCTTTTTTCTGACATACGAAGTCCCGGGCACAGCTACTGCATATATGGAGCTTGCGAACAAAACGGTATAATAACGCATTTGGTCAAACTACTTTTTTTTACAGTCCGGAGGTTTCGGGCCCGTTGAATTTGAATCTCAAATAATTTTCAATCAAAACCGTCTAAAACGGTGTTAAAATTACTAAATTTATAAATTGAAAACTATGCCAAAAGCTCACTGGAGGAATGTTATTCAGTTTTATACAGCTACTGTAACATACGATTTTTTGTAATTATACCGTTTTGTGCGCCAGCTCCTGATATGCAATACACCCGCGGTAATCTGACCCACGTATAACACGGAGAAGTCGGATTATCGAATTTGTCAGACAATATGTACAGATTGCTGCCTAAGACCACCCCTTGTAACCCGTATATTTGAATTTTGAGTAAGCGAACCTTGTAAATTACAAACCAAAAAATCTATTTGAATTGATTTTAATGTTTAATTACAGGAGGGTGCCGGATCACCGTGGGTCTATTGTAATATACACTCGCGAGCAAAAGTTGGGAATCACTTACTTGAAATAGATTCCGCGCGATCTTGTGTACTAAATTTTTTTTTAATAATCATCAATCGTGAATTAATTTGGTATCAATTTAAAGTTTGCAGTTGAATCTTTGAAATAATGTAATTTTTATGATAATTAAAAATTTATTTAGAAAGCAAGATCGCGGGGAACCAATTTCAAGTAAGTGATTCTAAACTTTTGTTCGCGAGTGTAGTTAGATCAACGGTCAACTTCAGGTTGGCCAAGATTCGTCACAGACCCTTAAAATAAAATCTAAACATTCATTAAATAAAACTAGTTTTGACGGGTTAATGTACGAAACTTCATTTATTTATTAACGTTTCGCAGCTCTTTCAGGTCTGCATCGTCAATAAATAAATAAAGTTTCGTGCATTAACCCGTTAAAACTAGTTTTATTTAATGAATGATGTGCGTGAAAACCTAATATACAAATATCTAAACATTCACCTAAATATAAATAAATACATATAGCAAATGAAACATAACAAGCGATATCTACGTACAGCTGGCGGCGTGTGCCCAGTGATGACTTGTCCCGACACGGTGGTCTGTTGAGCGCCCGTCATGTGCCCCACGGCGAAAGGTTTCGCGCCTACGGCAGAACGTAAACGTGGACGTAAACGTAAATGGGAAGCGAAGCCAAAGTAGCGGCATGGTGGGTGGCGAATTCGCAACTTGGCGTAGGATCAAGTTAGAGATTTACGCAAGAATATGTGATGACGGAGTACAGTAAACGAAATTCTATTTAGTCCGTCAATTAGATGATCAAAAAATAATGGACACGTATTTCTTCTTTGGCTAATCAACCAAAACATGACAAAGTTATAGCGCGTCAAATTTTGGGAGTAGGGGCTCGTGACGTCACTTTTAAGTGAAAATTGTACCAAAACGTGACGTCATACGACTTTTCAAATCAATGTATCTCTGCAATGTTTATATTATGTAAAAAAAGAAAAAATACCGTGCCCAATAAATTTAGTCACATCCCTATTTATTTATTTAAATTTCATTGCCATATCCACATATGCAAACGGCGGACTTAATGCCATAGGCATTCTCTACCAGTCAACCTGAACGAGTGTAAGAGACAAATGGTATAGCGATAGGGCAAAATGCTTTATAATAAAACAATGAAATGGTTTATAATAGAGTATGAAAAAAAAATGATCATTTGCATTTGAACAGGGTAGGGTGATCATGGTCACAAATAGTTACATAGCCATATAGGAAGTTTCACCTATTCAGCATGTATAGCTTGCAAATTCACAAAGTTTTTACTGATTGAATTAAAATAGACAGGGGCGCCAAATCGAGGAAGTCAGATCATTTAAGCTACTTGGAATCACGATGGACTCGACTCTTTCATGGAAGCAGCACGTAGAGACTGTGGTAAAAAAGCTGAATAGTTTTACATACGGACTACGCGAACTACGTAAAAGCACAAACGAGGAGTGTGCACTCGCCGCGTACCACAGTCATGCCGCCGCTTGGATTCGATATGGAATCATTTAATGGGGGAACTCAACCGATGTACACGCCATTTCTATCCTACAGAAACGATGTCTGAGAATAATAACATTCACAGCATCAAGAGACTCGTGTAGAATGTTATTTGGAAGGTTAAACATACTAACAGTTACTTGCGTCTATATATTTGAGTTATGCCGATTTGTAAGAACTCATAGTAAGTATTTTTGTCGCATCGGTGACATGTCAAAACGTTATGTATCGCGCCGCGGAAACGATCTCGTCTTGCCCACACCGAATCTAACGGTCTTTCAAAATAGCGCCTACTACATGGCAATTAAAGTTTATAATCATTTGCCTAATTCCTTAAAGACCCTCCAGGGTAAAAAGTTTGAGCCTGCACTAAAGATTTTTTTACTATGTAAGATATTTTATACAATTAATGAATATTTTAGTGAAAAGTTTTAAATTTTTGACATTTGCATTATATTTTGAACAATTAATTATTTTTTTAAATATGTTTTACAAGATTGAAAATTTATTATGTTGGAACGTTTTATAATTATGACTGTAGATCTACCTATTTAGTATTAAGTTTTAAATTTTGACATTTGCATTATATTTTTGACAATTGAATTAATTTTTAAATGGTTGATTGAAAATTTGTTATGTTGGAACGTTTTATAATTATGACTGTAGATCTACCTAATTAGTATTAAGTTTAAAATTTTGACATTTGCATAATATTTTGGACAATCGAATTAATTTTTACAATTGAAAAATTGGAACGTTTCATAATTGTGACTGTAGATTCTATCTATTTAGTTTAGGAATATTGCAATACCCTAACTGGGTTCTTGTTTGGAATGATATATATATATTTTTTGTAACAGCATGTAAACAACAAGAATGCAATAAATGAATATGAATATGAATATACGAATACGTTTTAACTAATTGATTGACATGTTTAATTCAAAATAACAAGTTACAGAATTCAAAGAGTTTTTATAAAATCAGTTCTTAGCCAAAATGTGAATCAAAATTTCACAACGAGTTTTGAATCTAATAATCTCGAGTAAAACATTCCTCCATACTCACTCAACTTCAAATCGTCTTATCCATAAATTAAAAAAAACTAAGCTGCGAATTCGCTACCAACTACATATATTTTGTACCTCTTTTACAGTGACAGATATACTTAAAACTAAATATGTCCATAATATATAAAGAGAAAATTCCATATACATTACTTTGTCGTGCAACATTTTTTACAATTGCAAAATAAAAATAAACTTTATATACAAATAACTAGCGTGTGTATTGTGTTATCTAGTATCTCTATTATTCTGCCTGAGACTAAGCCATAAGGTCTAATAAGTTTGTCTAATATGTTGAACTTTAATAAAAATATATTTTGTCAATAGGAATCTTGCTATATCAGTAGATAGCCATCCTGATTATGGATCAACGATAGCTTTGCACTGCAATAAAAGCTTAAAAAAAATTTGGATGCACTTCATAAGGGTTGGTTTTATTTCAAACAAACCTAAAAAGTTTGTTTTTTAATTTTTATTCTTTTTTTGGGTGAACAGAATATTTGGTGTTTATTTAAAGGTGTTTTGTTTTTACCTATTATTTATTTATTATTAAACTCATTATGTACACATTAGATACTAATGGTTGTTACTATATAACAGTACTTATTACATTTAATTTTAAAAATTGTGTAAAAATCATATATGTTATTTACTAACATAAATAATTAAATTAAATTAAGATTGGACAAAACATAACAAAAAAGAAAAACAAACACCAAATACCCATACAAAAGGGTTTTCAAGAATTTGTCACATGATAACTTTATGAAGTGTGGCTGTGTGTGCGTGTATATATAAATGTGTGTGTGTGTGTTATATATGTATTATATTTAACAATAACCTTACCTTCAGCCCCGGGTCTATGAACGGCCGGTTTCGCCACAGATTCAGTGCTCACTTTGCCAGATTTGAATGTGTCGTGCTGGATGATATTGGCTCTAGACAAACAAAAATAAACTTATAAATGAATATAATAGCAATTATAATTTCAATTCTGCAAATAAGGTATTTGATAGTATTAAAAATAAAGTGCCAATTGTTAGCATCTGTGTTTAGATTGAATATTGGCAGGGTTTCTACTATTTTTACAAAAAATAAAAAACATAATTTTACTAAAAGCTCTCGAAAAAGATAATAGTTTTCTTATCTAATGTCACGTGACCCAATACGCTAAAGATTGGCGGAGCCTAAAATGACGACACACGCAAGTAAACTTCCGGTTAAAGTGACATTACATTTTATCGTTTAACTTTTTAATAACAGTTGTATGACGTCACCCACTAGTAAGACGCCATATTGTCCAGAGAAACGTTTTCGCGGCAACTTGAAAATGGAGTTTTTGATTTGGTTATTTTTACTGAAATACACAACAGAATCATGAATATCCACTTTTGCGGACTCTTGAAAACTTGTCAAATACCCTATTCTTTGAGCTTTAAAACTTAAAATTCTTACCTTATTGAACTTAATCAACCTTATTAATAAACGATGACTAAACTTGGATAAGTTACTCTATGTTAGGTCTCTGTTCATTAAATGACAAATGGCACTTGTGTGATATGAACAAAACACGGCGAAACTAGTCTAATCTTATTCCTCGTTTATTAAAAAGGGGGATAAGACCATTAATAGGATATGTTTATACAAAACGATATTTACTCATGTTTATTGAATTATGGCCCCAAATTACCTGGAAGGAGACACTATGATGTCTATGTATTTGGCTATGACCTGAACTATCTACTACCAGAACTATAAATAAATATGGCCCCAAATTACCTTGAAGGAGAAACCGAATCTTTTGCGAACTATGCTAACTATGTAATCGGCAATCACTTCAAGTATCTGCTACCAGAACTATAAATGAATATGACCCCCAATAACTATGAAGGAGACACTATGATTTTAAATATATGCTACCAGAAGTATACATAAATATGACCCCAAATTACCTTGAAGGAGTCACAGGAAATCTTGCGAACTGTGATGTCTATGTAGCCGGCTAGCACTTGAAGTATATGCTACCAGAATTATAAATGAATATGGCCCCAAATTACCCTGAAGGATTACCTATGATGGCTATGATTTGAAATAGCTGTTACCAGAACTATAAATAAATATGGCTCCAAATCACCTTGAAGGAGACACAGAATCTCTTGCGAACTATGATGTCTATGTAGCCGGCTATGACTTGAAGTATCTGTTTCCACTACTATATATAAATATGGCCCCAAATTACTTGGAAGGTAATACCGAATCCTCCAACATGGCTGATCCCTCATCGACATCGATTACGAGATGGTCCCGGGCGCGTCTCTTGCTAACTATGATGTCTATGTAGTCAGCTATGACTTGAAGAATCTGCTTCCACTACTATATAAAAATATGGCCCCAAATTACCTGGAAGGTGACACCGAATCCTCCAACATGGCAGATCCCTCATCGCCGTCGATTCCGAGATGGTCCCGGGCGCGTCTTTTGCGAACTATGATGTCTATGTAGCCGGCTATGACTTGAAGTATCTGCTCCGCTTCTGTGGTTTGTACGGAGTAGTATTGATCGCTGTTAAGAAGGGAAAAGTTATTTTAATAAAGATACAAATAGAGCAGACATTTTCTTACCTAATAAAAGTATTTAAAAAATCCTAAAAGCTAATTGTAGCGCCACCTATTGGGTAAATAAGATTTCCCTAATATAATGAGTAATTTTCTTAGTAAGATTGCAATAAAATTGGAAAGGTTGTTGACTTTCAATATATTGGACGAAACATAGTAATATTTTATTTTATCGTACTATAATAATAAGTCTCTAACTAGGACGTCCAGGTGGCATCTTTATTGCGAATATAATGCATTTTTTCCACAATACATGTCGGTAGGTGCGCTTAAATGTGATTCATGTAAGTTGATTTTTCTGAGAGATTAACTTTTTAATGTTATATAAATTGTCTCGTTTGTGTACGATAGCGCAATAAATAAATAATGTAATCTACTACATAAATGATAGTACTTTTATACTGTACCCCTAGCACTAACCATTATCGAATTCTATGTCCAATAATGAGTGGTAGGGAAATTTTCTTTTTGGACGATTCTAAAGCGTTGTACTATACATCCAATTTGAGTAAAGATATATTGATTTCTGATTTGATTAGTACCTATAATCTCCAAAATCCAGCGTGAAAGTATTTGGGCTGGCACACCATCTCCTTACAGTGGTCAAAGGCCACGTTTGTAATATTTCCTTGGTGCGTTCGTCGAGACGTAAAACCGAGTCTTTGGTGACACCAAGCAAGCGGGGGACTAGCTTGTTTTTGCCTTTCATCTTTTCCTGTTTGAGAGAAATAAATAAATGAAAACATTTACAGTAATAACATTTTTTATATTTTTCAACATTTTACTGCTCGATGTTTAAATCTAAAGAAAATATTACTAGAAAACAATTCCACGCGAACCAGGCAGCATTCGCGACACGAACCCGTATCCTTCGCTATTTGGGCGAATGCACTGACCATTATGCTACCGCGGCCTTGATGGCCCTGTCCAATTCTTCCTAGCCTTTCTTAAGCTGCAAGGCAGCGCCATCTCTTCGCATTGTAGATAACCCACAATATCAAATGAATACCTTTATAATATTTACAGTACTCAGTACAATAGTAAATATTTGAAAGTATAAAAAATAATGTACCAACTGTTGGGATCTGTATTTAATATGAATATTAGCAGCGATTTTCTGAAAGAACAAATAATTTATAACTTTTCTATCAAAATCAACAGAAATGATTTTTTTGCTCCATGGTCACGTGACCGGAAACGCCTAGGATTGTCCTAGTTTAAAATAACGCCATACGCTAGTAAACTTCCGGCCAGTGACATTGGATTGTATCGATTGACGTTTAAATGACAGTCGTGTGACGTCACACTCTTATGAGACGCCATAATGTACATAGAAACGTTTTCGCGGCAACTTGAAAATTTAATTTTGAATTTAGTTCTTTTTACTGAATTACACAACAGAATTAAAAATATTAACTTTTAATGGACTCTATAAGCATTAGTAAATGACGTGAGATCGTTTTCTAAAACTTGTCAAATACCCTATTAAGTTTTCTTAAATATTATGTGGATGTTCCACATACTATTTTTTATATCCGTAACAACCTTTCAGAAATTATGTATTACCTAGATAATTCCAAAAAATGGACGAAAACGGTAATTTAGTTTTCAAGTATATAGTGTGACCAAAGGAAATAGAGATTCATTTTTATAAATAAAAATGGATGAGGATTAAAACAAACTTTCATGGTCACTAACATTTTTTTTTTATTTAAGGGATTGTTACCATGTACCTTGTTTTTAGCGAATTTCCGATATTTCTGCGATCGATTGCCCGTTATCCCGATATCGAACGCAATAAAAGACTTCGTCGGAGGGTTGACCGATATATGTGCCAATACCAGCCTACCCGCAAGTAGTTCAGCTATGAATGGAATAGGGAGATTAGGCCATGAATCACCACGCGGGCCCAGTGCGGAGTGGCGGGTGCTAACGACTGCAGATGCAGCCGAGGCCAACAGCTTAGCGTGCATTTCGAAGCACGGAGGAAGTCGAGATAGAAGATTTTTGGCCACCCATCCAATAACCGACCACTGCGAAAGTTGCTTAACTTCAACGATCGCAGCCGAACGCGCTAACCACCCGTGCCATCGAGTTTCTCAACTATCCCGTAAATAGCATAAATTTCTATAAAGTACTAAAACTAACCTTAACAAGGAAAAACGCCACTCCATAGGTCTTGAGATCTCTAGCGCTCTTGGTGTAAAGAACTTTAGCGTCCAGTTCGCTGAGACCGGCGTGTTTGCGATGTTCTTTGAAGACTTTCTTCTCTATGCCCTTAACTTTCATGTAGGACGCGGGCAGGAATTCTTTCAAGCTGTGGTTTGTGGAAAAAGGGGGTAATTTAGGTAACGCATTCACATAATCTATCACCATCATCATCATCAGCCTATTAATATCCTATGGATGAAATAGCACGATTGGACTATGACCCGCCATGCGGGCCCAGTGCGGATTGGTGCTAACGACTGTAGATGCAGCCGGGACCAACGGCTTAGCGTGCCTTCTGAAGCACGGAGGAGCTCGAGATAAATTTTTGGTCACCCATCCAATGACCGACCACTGCGACAGTTGCTTAACTTCAACGATCGTAGCCAAATTCGCTCACCATTTGCGCAATCGAGTTCCACATAATCTAATCCCTACTTAATAATAATAAGATTTAAACAAAAATTAATTTCACAACTTATAATCCTAAATATTTAAAATCATCATTTCTAATATTTAATTGAAAAATAAAATGATTAAGATTTACAATTCTAAAATTCCTCAAGATTATAAAAAACTTTTTAATCAGTCATATTATTTAGTTTTTGAATTGAATGCCGTTTTCAGATTTAATACATAAAGGTTATTAGATGTGAAAAAATATCAGCACATGAATGTTCATAGTTTAAATGCAATTTTGTTATTTGCCTATAAAAATTCCCCATTAAAATAAAATGGGAAACCGGGAAATTATCTTTACTTAACTTTAATTACAGTTTATATATAATACTTACTCTAGGAAGCCAGGTGTGTGTTTATCTTCTTTGTGATCACCGAATTGTATCTGGCATTGTATACCGGCGAATTCGCAAGCTGATGAAAAAAACAAAGATGTTGAAATATGTATATAGAAAAAAACTCACGCACCACACGACCAAGACCACGACCAGTGGCCGCAGCGACCAGATTAACTAAACGAAAACATACGCACATCGCACACTTGGCCGCAACGGCCAACCTTACTTATTTTGGTCGTTGCGGCCACTGGTCGTTTTCGCGGCCCTTTAGTGCGCGAGGTGCCTAAAAGGTAAAATATATATATATACATATAGCGCTACATATTCTTTACTCATATCTAAAGTATGCACATAAAGGCCCACTTGCAGTAATTTTGCTAAATCTTAATTTAAGTAATACCAGATTTAGCCCAAACAATAATCTAGTTTTAGTTGAATCGAGATTTATAGCAAATTTACTGAAGTAGGCTTAAAAAGTCAAATTAATATGTGCTGCCGGTGCCATCCAAAACCGTATCTATCTATCAACGGACATGGCACCTACATAACTTTGGGAGTGGGGGCTGGTGACGTCACTTCTAAGTAATAATTGTACCAAAACGTGTCGTCATGCGACTTATTATAATAAAAATATTTATTAACACTAGTGGCCCGCCCTCGCTTCGCTTCGATGTAGAGCTGTAATGTAGACTATAGTTTTTGTTCAAAGGCAATAAAGTTCAAATTGACTGTACATTTTATTTAGAAAACGAATAGGGTTGTTTTTAGGGCTATCCCGGCAATTATTCGATTTTTACTCACCTTTGAAACCTTACCTACCTGCACGAACGTTTCAAGACCAAGATAAGATAAATCCATTCAGCCGTTCTTGAGTTTTAGCGAGACTAACGAATAGCAATTTGACGAAAAACGATTTGTATATATATAGATTATCTACATACCCTTGTCGTTAGTAACCGGATGGGTCCCGTCCAATATAGCATCCCTTGCTTGAACATACAACAGATTCAGTTGCACCGGGTCTCTCGAATCAACGTTCCTATCGGAGAAGAACAGTTTGCGGCGAAGCAGTAGGGTCTCAGTCACGTCGATGCCCTGTTCGCGAAGAGTTTTGGCCGATTCCACCCAGTTTACTGTATGGGAGAAATTATAAGGATTTAATTATCCGGAGCTCGATGGCGTATAGGTGGTTAGGACGTTCGGCTGCGATCGTTGAAGTTAAGCAACTTTCGCAGCGGTCGGTCATTGGATGGGTGACCAAAAATCTTCTATCTCGAGTTCCTCCGTGCTTCGGAAGGCACGTTAAGCCGTTGGTCCCGGCTGCATCTGCAGTCGTTAGCACCCGCCAATCCGCACTGGGCCCGTGTGGTGGGTCACGGCCCAATCTCCCTATTCCATCCATAGGTAAGACCTGTGCCCCAGCAGTGGGGACATTAATAGGCTGATGATGATGAATTTTCAGTTTTGATGCTCGAAAACAATATTAATAAGATCTTTGAATCTCAAATAGTAAAATCTATAATAATCTAAAGAAAATTTTACTAGAAAAAATCCACGCTAACCAGGCCAGCAGACGGGACTCGAACCAGCACCCTCCGCTATCCAGGATGCACGTGTAAAGATATTCATTTGACATTGTGGGTTACCAACAATGCGAAGCGATGGCGTTGCCTTGTAGCCTAAGAAATGCTAGAGAAAATTCGACACGGCCATCAGGGTCACGGTAGCATAATGATCAGTGCATTCGCCCGGATAGCGAAGGGTGTCGGTTCGAGTCCCGTCTGCTGCCTGGCCCACGTGGCATTTTTCCAAGTAAAATTATCTTTAGATTTAAACATCTAGCAGTTAAATGCTTAAAAAAACTAAGGCCCGTATTACAGAATGACAACTAAATGTTGATCTTTACTTGAGTACAGTTAGAAAGGGATGTCGCTTTATGCTATATATAGCGACATCCCTTTTTAACTATGCTCAAGACTAGATCTATCACTGAGAATCTTTCTATAATACGGGCCTAAAAATATAGCTACTTAAATATATAATTACCTTCATCATCAGTCCGCAATTTCTTCCTAAGCTGCTCCATCTTGGCGTCTCTTTCTTTTTCATGATGTTTCCTTTTCAGTGTAAGAGTGCCATAGTTAGGCTTATCGCATGGATCCGGTTGTTCTTGCTGTTCTTCCCGCACCTTGTTTAAAAAAGTAAAAAAAAAAAGGTTTTACAAAATACAGTGACATCACCTTAAATCCAATATGGCGGCCTTAAAAAGATGGCGGACTAAGTTTTTTATGCTTTGCTACAGTATATGTCTCAAATGAAAGGTCTTGCTGAGAATATGGGGTTTTAAAGTCCTAAAAAATAAATTAAATGTAAAAAAAGGCTAGGCTGTTTGGATTGTTTGAAATATTTATTTATTTATAAGACAAAAACTGCTACTCACCAGACCATACTCATCATAATTGGTGATTCCAATCTTGGTGCAGATCACCACCATCAGGTTGGCCACTATTTGACTGTCGTCAACTAACAACGTTTTCACCGTGCCTGAAAGTAAAAATCAATCATAAATTAATCACATTTTTTAAAAAATAACTAAATAAAACTTTACTAGAATTATTTTTCTTTAGATTTAAGATTCTAGCAGTAAGGAATTAAAAATAAAAATATTTCTATATTTCTTATGCTTTTAAATTATTAATTTGTCATCCTTCGTGGGGTGTGTGGTATATACATAGGTTTACTCAGAGATCCTGGGTTGTAAGACGTATGTACTAATTGATTATTGTTTTCATATATTTCTACGAAAATATACTACTTATATATTGTTCTAAGTACCCTTTGGTTATATACACGCCTAAATAGATTAATCGAAAAAAAACACGAAAAAAAAACGGCTCATGTTACGCGCAATGTGTGCGTGAATGTCAGATTGTTTGAAAGCAGTCAATGTGTGTGAGTGTGTGTGTATCAACGAGCGTATGTACCATATGTAGTAGATATTTTTTGTGGCGCTTCCGTACAGTTAATACGGTATCTAGGCGTGTATAATAGAAATTGGTACCTATGTATTTCCGTCGGTTACCCTAATATCCCGTAACACAAGCCTCAGGGCTTTCATTGGAGCTACACTGAGGTGTAAGTGTAAAAAATGTTTATTTAAAGAAAATATTAGTAGAAAAAAATCCATTACAAATATTACTAGAGAAAATTCGACACGGCCATGAGGGCCGCGGTAGCATAATTGGTCAATGCGTTCGTCCGGATAGCGAAAGGTGCGGGTTCGAATCCCGTCTGCTGCCTGGTCCGCGTGGAATTTTTAATAGTAATATTTTCTTCAGATTTAAACATCAAGCAGTTCCATGCTTAAAAAATTAAAATCATAACAAATGTTTATTTATTTATAACTTTAACTTACCGTCCAACATTCTGACCCTCAAATTCCTTGTCTTCTTATTATACTCCAGCACGTCTCCATTCCTCAGCATGTAGTAGTCGAGACTGCGGGACGCCTCCAGCCATATTCCCTTCTTGTTGTCTTCCTCAGAAGCGAGGAACAAGCCAAACTCTTTCGCTGTTGGAAGAGAAAAGCAGGCTTTATTAACTAGGTGATAAGGTTAAGAGCACTTTTACAATATTGAGCCGCTGCCGTAGTGATCGGCGCGTAGGTAGATTTGCACAAGTATATATTGCATTTTACAGGTGCTGTTTCGAGTGTTATAAAATAATTATTAATGAACTTATTATAAAAATATATACATATTTCAGTAGTTCAATGATAGAAGATTAGTTTTATGAAACTATTTGATAGTAATTCTATTTAATTCAATATCAAAATCCGAGGTTATTATTTTTTGGGTAAACTCCGGAGGTTAGATGTTTTCTTGATAATTAATGAGATTGAAAATCAAAATTCTAATACATTATGTTACAACAAAAACATATTTCTGATCTCAAAGTAATTAATTTTATCTAATTTATTGAACATTATTGAGAGATTGGGTTTTTGAAGTTGTACATATTATCGTTTTTTCCGTAAACTAGCTGCAGTAGAACGATCAGTACAAAAAAAAGGAAAATAGTATTTGCAAATATTCTACATTAACTTACAATTGGAAGAATAAATCTACTGTTTACTTCTATTGGACATAGTCAAAATCTCTTCTAAGGGGGTAAACGAGGCGCTCAAAAATTACGATTTTTTGCAAAAAATGTGAAAGGGCTCTTAAGTATGCCAGGCACAAGTCATGTTACTAAAACAGTCCTTTCTGAGTTTCTTGCTGGTTCTTCTCAGTGCAAGGTCTTCATTTATGAGTGCTTAAAATAGCCGAAACTGAATAAATGATTTTGATTATGATATGACTATAGACTTATTATAATAAGTCCATGCATGTTAAATATCATTGGGTCAAATTACTTTAATTGACTTGAGCTTATAGGCTTGATATAAGATTGTTAATTTAATGAGATGTTGGGGGGGGGGAAGTAAGCTTTATTAACTTAGTGATACGGTATAAGTATGATAGGCACAAGTCATGTTAAATATCATTGGGTCAAATTACTTTAATTGACTTTGAGATTTATATAGTTTGATATAAGATTGACAATTTATTGAGACAATATGACAGTTTGTGGTTACTTGATGTGTGATAATTTCTATTTTAGAACAGGGAATGGAATAAAATCTGATTTAAAACAAGTGCTAGTAAGTGCTGCAATCTAGCTAGACGTTGGGCAAGTTTGAAGAAAACCATTGCAAAACTTGTGGGCAGGGCAGGCGTGCCACAGTTATGCGTGAGCAAATGCTCATTACTTGACCAAAACTTGGTTCTGATTGTGTCGTTGCTCTCGGATGTGAGCGCTGATTGGTTCGATTGTTTGATGTCGCTTTGTTTGATTCGCTATTATCTATTACGTGGAAGTGTAGTGGGGTCGGGCCAGCGACATCGGTTCCCGTACAAACGGTATGTGATAACCCTTCTAACCTCTATTTGTGTTCTGTGATATAGACGAACTTTGTCGAGCCGCCCATACGTTTATGTGCTATCAGTTAGTATGGAAGAAGTTAAACAAATGTTGCGAGCGAGAGCGACAACCGACGCCAAATGTGGTCTATACACGTTGGCGCTTCCCTTTAATCAGAAAATTAGGCAAGTGACGCCCAGCGATGACAAGGCAAGGCTGCTGTCTATACGTTGGTATTGGCCTGCGCTTAGCCGACATGTATTGGCGGGCTTATATAATTATACTCACGGTCACTAGTTGTGGCTTCCAAGATCTTCTCCCTGATGATGCGACAAGCGTCGTACACAGTGGTGGAAGGGTCAAACTGGATGGTCTTCACTACCTTCCCGCCCTCTAGGGATATCTTGAGGGACAGCGTTGCCATCTTGCTTAGCGAGCGAGCTCTGATAATAGGAAAAAGAAAGAATTATATATCCATTCTTAAGTCTATTGTCGATTCGGTCTCTTCCAGCCACGAGCTACCCTAGCACGGGAATCGCGTTATGATATATAGCTTGTTTTCAGCACGCTCAATTGCTAAATTACTTTTACTATTTGACAGCAAGGCGCGATATAAAACGCGATATAAAGTAAATTGTGGTGCTCATGTTCATGTTACAAGACTTGACTTGATGGGGTTTCCCCTATCTGGTATAATGTAATTTTTTCGAAATTCATTTGGCATGACACGCTTGGCATTATCGCATATAATGAAACGAATATTTTTAAGGCATTTTTTTTTTCAAATGTAATGACGGATTAGTCTTATGTTTATAATATAAACATATCCGAACTCATAATGGAATCCTTTTAATTGCAGAATTTTATTATTCATAAATGTTCTAGCTTAATAAAAGTTTTGAATGTCTAATAAATGATTGAATGCCAAATGTTTTTTTGCGAGATGAAATCAATGCCATCCAATGATATGCATAATAATATTATAGTAGGGGAGCCCTCCAGTAGCTCCAATTCAAAAGACTGACAATTTGGAAAGAACGCTGGGTCTCCTCATACTCCAGGGTTATAGCTAGTCATGTTACAGGACTTAAAGTTAAACCAACTACAAACCTGTTGATGGTGGCAGTGCGGTTGGGTTCAGCGTGGTCGTCTAAAGAAAGAACGCTGGGTCTCCTCTCTCGCTGCTTGCGTCTCTCTTGACTGAGCGAGCGGCGTCTGTTCCGGGGTTGTGGAGAGCCCTATGAAAAACCAGAAAAAACATTTGAAATGTATTTCGCAAACCCTCCCGTTCTAAACTTAGATTAAAACAAAAAGGGTAGATACGGTACGCTCATACTTGCATCAAACAAAAACTGATCCCACTTTACTACATATGCAACACCCACCCATCCACCTGTTTGTAAAGATACAATCGAACGAACGAAACAGCAATTTAAGTTTCAACGGCAGCGCGAACGGGACGGTGAGATCCGCGTCACTGCATTACCGACCCGAAAGAAACAGCACGTTAAGTTTCAACGGCAGCGCGAACGAGACGGCGAGATCCGCGTCACTGCACTACCGACCAATCACGCCACCTGCACCAGTAATCGACGTCACTACCGAATAAGACTCAAAACAAACAGCAAATTTTATGAAAAAATATATTTTATAGTGCTTAAGAATGAAAAGTGATGCCGTGGGTTTTATTTTTAGTTCTTGAGCAATTTGAGCACTTTTTAAAAACACACTTAGGCATTGTTTTATCATATAAACACAAAATATTAGCAATATTTCTTTTTGGCGTTAACATGTACGTCGTTTGCATGTCAAGTTGTGACTAAAGCGATTGTGGTCTTGGGCCACAATTTATGTGGATCACTTTTGTGAGGCTAGTGCCGTATCTACCCTTTTTGTTTTAATCTAAGGTTCTAAATGACTCTCTTATTATGTTAGTTTTTAAGATTCGGTGTTACGGTTATGTTCTTATATTCCTGGTGAAAAAATGGGCATAACGGATTTATTTCGGACCAACGGCCTCTCTGTTGCCACTATTCTAAAACGAACCTAGGATTTGAAGACTCATTTTTTTGTCGCACTGTCCGCAAATGGAATGCTTTGTCCGCTCACGTGTTCCCTCTCTCCTATAACCTGAACTCCTTTAAAATGGCCGTGAAAAAGCAACTTGCAGGCCAGCCAGGTGAGGATGGCAAGTCTGGCAGGTAAAACTATTGCATCAGCTATCTTCGCGTCCTGGCTCCACCGTCACTTAACATCAGGTGGGGTGGCCTCATTTGTCGGACCTTCATGAAAAGTAATATCTCTTATCTATTAGACAAGTCCGTCTGTCTGTGGTACTGTTTCAGCGGCCAAACCGTAAGAGATAGATAAAGAGAATATCGTGGTTATGCAGGCAAAACCAATTATGCGACATTTAACCAAATCGAGAAATGCGCTACATAAAGTTCAAAGCCCTTTTAAAGTTTTAAAGATCTTTTTAATGCAACCAGAAGTATGGTCATGGTGGGCCTGAGTTCATCATTTTGGGTTAAAGTACAACTTTAATATGAAAAAGAAAAGGGAAGTATGCAAATTATTTGTTCAAACAAAAAATGGACCATTCGTAATTGGTTTTCCCTGGTGAATAAAAATCGTGATTATCTAGAGAATCATTCACATTACGTATAAATATCATAAATGACGTGGTAGTATTTTAAATGTAATATCTACATACTTTATAAAAAAACAAATTTACACAAAATTATGAGCACATCTACGATAATTCCTAATTTAAACTTGGTTTTTGCTGAACTAGTTAGGAAGAGAAATATGGTAAGTCGTCAAAACTTAAAAAAAATGTACTAAATTAGTATTTACTGAAATGAAATAAAAATACATTGAAATTATTTATTAAAATGAAGAGGAGACAAATTTACGAAACGTGAACAAAAAGAAAATTTATATTAAAATAAAGGGTATGATCCAAATGATGATTAAGTTTAAAAACTTAATCATCATTTGGATAATACTCTTCATCGGAAAGCGTTGCATCAGGTATTACCTGATCCTTTTTATCTTTTTCACTTGGAAGTGATTTGAACCATTCCTGGTATTCTTCGGGAATAACGTTTTTTGCACATAAATTAATTAAATCTTTTTTCTTTGCGTCACTGATGGGCACAGATAGATATTGTTTACTGGAAGGCATATTTAATCTGACATCCTAAACAATCATTAAAAATATTTCCGCCAATTTACATAAAACCTTAATGAATTATACAAAATGTCGAAATTATAGACAAAATTGAACCTCTTCAATTACGCCGTGACGTGGCGTCACTAAGCGCGTTCTATCGTTTGTACCACGGCAAGTGTTCTGAGGAGTTATTCTCTCTTATCCCACCTTCTCCTTTCCTTCAGAGGACCACACGCGCTGGCCTACGTTGTCACCGTCTAACTGTGGCCACAATTCCAACGCGTACAAAGAAATTTGGTGACTCATTTCTTTGTCACACTATCCGTAAATAGAATGCTCTGCCCGCTCACGTGTTCCCTCCCTGATACAACCTGGGATCCTTTAAAAGAGGCGTGAAGAAGCAAAATGCAGGCCGGCAGGGTGAGGATGGCTGGTGTGGCAGGTAAAACTGCTGTATCAGCTATCTTCACGTCTGGACTTCACCTTCACTTAACATCAGGTGGGGTGGAGTCATTTGTCGGACCTATCTATAAAAAAATAAAATAAGGGGCTGTTGCTCAGGTAGGTAGAAACTTCAAAGGGTGCTTACATAAAGAAACTCGTCGTTTACATCGGTCGTGAGCAGACGTGTTCCGAGTTAATATTTATTTTTCCAACTTAATAATTATTCGAAATTAGTTCCTTTATTTAAGAACTAAGAGCATATATTGGCTCAACACCGACTGCATAAATTGTGTAGTTATTCCTTATCGGTGTTGACTGAATCCATAGACCTACATCTGCACAGACATGTTACGATCACCGAAGCAAACATCAAGTTCAATACCGGATCTGTCTCAATTAAAGAAAATGGAAGCAGAGCCTAGTTTAACTATGAAAAAGCGAAAGCACAGTGAAGATTACACCGAAGCTTTTAATAAATTTTCCGATAGAATGATGGCATCACTGAATAACTGGAAGTCAGAAATTAGCAGGGATAACTCTCTGTTACACGAAAGCCTCAACATGCTAAAGGAGAACATTGGAAACTTAAGTCAAACTTCACAAGAACTGAAGACTGAAATGCAGAGTATACGATCGGAATATTCTGACATTAAAAACTCTGTGCAATTACTTAATACCAAATTTGCAGGCTTAGAGAGTGAAATAAGTGACATGCAAGATTCCGTTCAGTTCACTAGTGACCAACAAGATGATATCATTAAAAAAGTTGAGTTCCTCTCGGATAACACTAAAAAGATTGAAAAGTTTAGCAGTGAACTGGAAGAATTGAAGAGACAGAACCGCCAATTGAAGCTTGAATTGAACATTAATGAGCAGAGAGACAGATTGATGAACTTAGAGATAGTGGGAGTGCCCGAAGTAAAAGATGAAGACTTAGCGGTTATTATGGCACTGATAGCTAACAAGATTGATTTAGAAATGTCCGCAGCTGATATCATACAAATAAACAGAGTAACGCCAAAAGTCAAGATTCAAGGACGGCCTAGAGTTATCATTGCCAAGTTAAGATCACGCCTACTCCGCGACAATTTTATCTCACGAGCCCGCAAAAACCGCTTATCAACGGAAGATTTAAGTTTACCTGGTGCCCCCAAACCTATATACATAAATGAACACTTAACGGTTTCTAACAAAATGCTATTGCAGAAGTGTAAAGAACTTGCTAAATCAAAAGAGTATCAGTACGTGTGGTCGAAATATGGAAAAATTTATATACGGAAAAACGACACATGCCCGGCGGTTTTTATTGCCTCGGAAGAAGACTTCAAAAAATTTGTGTAGTATGGTTCAGATGTTATGTTTTAAGTTACAGTTTTATTTTTATTTCTATATGCTTTTCCATGTCACTGTCGTGTTTAAATCTTGTCACCTCTGTGCAACCGTTATACTCTGTGGCGACCCGAGTAAACAACATTCTATGCTCAATACTGAACACTCAATCGAAACATGTGAGTATATTTTTGCCTTACACGCCAAACTCGTTCTATACAATCGTACTATTTTTATTATATCACGAATATGATGATAATTATATTAAAGAAAAACTATTTTCATTTTATATTTCGCGTCTATATACACAATCACTGCTGCCGATTTTATTCATTCCTAAATCAGTTTTAGTTATTTTCTTAAAATTTAATTTACTAACAATAAATAAAAAACAATCTGCCGTAATTTATAAAATTCTTTCAAAGATATTATTACTCAATTTATGCGATACAGCACCATATAACAGTAACGAATCAAATCACTCGCACATTCTTTTTACGTATACGCTGTGCAGTGGATGGCTTTTGTTAAGATTACTAGTAACTTATTGCAGCCCGACGAGCCATTCGAGGTGTCGTACGTTTGTCGCTTTTGTTAATTACCCCCAAAATTATTATGAAAAAACTGTGAAGCAAAAACGAATTGCAACCAGTTCGAATAATTTTATATATACTTTTTTAACCAATACTTGTTTTATATTTATATGTCGGTTTTATTATATAGCACCTCGGTCGAATAGCAAACATATTTATAGTCCGATTAATACTCATGACGGTATTTTATATCATATGTTAAAATATTTTAAGCTTTTAAACTTTGTTGGTTATCTGGTAGCTGAGCTTCGTGCGACAAAATGGCTTCAAAACTAACAGTTTTTTATCAGAATGTTCGCGGGTTAAGAACAAAGTGTTTGCAATTTAAACAGAGTTTAAGGCTTCATAATTTTGACATAATCGTAATTACCGAGTCATGGTTACAAGATGGTTTCTTTGACGGTGAATTCTGTGACGGGGAGTACGATGTCTTCCGTAGGGACCGTGACCTTGACTTGAGTAGTAAATCTACAGGTGGCGGCGTACTGATTTTAGTTAAAAGTAACCTGGGAGCGCGACGGTCTAGCGAGCGCGAACCGCTCCCACCAGTCGAGATGCTTACAGTTTCGATACCTTCGCACGCGATTAACTCGTCGGCAGCACTTCACATAAGCGCTATATATATACCACCGGATCCTAATCGTATTACACAGGATATAAACTTAATTGTGGACTCATTAAGCGAAGGTTTTAATTG